TTGCTATTGCTATTGCTATTGCTATTGTCTTTCAGTCAGGCATGACTTGTGCGTGTTCCATCCAGACCAAGTGGTCTTAAGACTGGACCCGACATTCATACCGAAGGTCAATAGCTGCTTTCACTGAGGTCAGGAGTTGACCTTACCTGATTTCTGTCCATCTCCCCATCACGAGGGGAAGCGCAAGTGGCACACTCTTGACGTACGTTATGCCCTCAAGATCTACATCAACCGCACCACCTCGTTCCGCTACTTGGAAGCTCTTTTCATCTCCTTTCGCCAGGTCTCCTTGGGTACCAAGGCATCATCATCTAGTCTGGGGTGCTGGATAAGAGCCTGTATTAAACTGTCTTATGAACTTCAATCCATACGGGTTCCTGCAAACATTATAGCTTACTCTATACGCAGCACTGCGACATCTGCGAACACTCAAGCCACCTTGGAAGAAGTCTACCGGGCGACCACCTGGGTGTCTCCCACAATCTTCATACGTCATTACAAGTTGGACAAGTATGCATCGGTTGATGCGGCTTCTGGGCGCAGGGTGCTACAACAAGTGTTTGTGCCCTAATGGACCTTTTTTACAATTTTCCACCCTAGTGGACAGCCCAGTCTTTGGTACGTCCCAGTCTGGCTGCTGTCTCTACGATAACAGAAAATGAGGTTGGTTGTTACCTGATAGGCTCATTTTCTGGTAGAGTAGAGACAGCAGTCAGCCCTGCCCTGGTATGGGTCACGTGAGGGAATTCCTTGTGCAGAGGAGAGAGGTACAGTGACTATGGACTTACACTTTTTGCTCACAATTCTCACTTGAGTCTACAGTTTTCCTTCATCTGAAACTGGGGAGGAGCCACAAGGGCCCGATGATATCATAAATGTAGACTCAGTCCAATTGGTTAATGGATGGAGCATACCCAGTCTGGCTGCTGTCTCTACTCTACCAGAAAATGAGTGTATCAGGTAAGAACCAACGCCCATTTTCAGAAACATCCATGAAGGGCCCTAATTGATACCTAATACTATTGAGAAAGAACAATTATTTTCAGAAACATCCATGAAGGGCACCAGTTGCATTTGCTACAATTAGATCTGACAGAGCCATTAACAATAAACAACAATGCATTTGTCTGTCATTTTGATATTTTAAAAATATCTATTCTCATTGATGAGGAAATTTGCACATATTATTAAATGATATTAATTTGCACATATTATTATTATACCTAGATGTCTTCATGCTTAGTACTACCACTGATTGTTATTATGGATTGGTTTGCTTCATTAAATAACATCAATTTTACAGACATCTAGATTAATACATTATTTTATTTTGAATAGGTTTGTTATCCAAATTTAATTTAAACAGGCATTTCTTTTTTTCTCACATTTAAGTTTTATTTTCTACTACAATGCATTAAGAAATATCTTCATCAAGAAATCAAATCAGCATAAAGCTGCTACTGAGAGACTTTTCACTTTCTCCAGAGCATTGTGCCTTTCTGGTCTCAAACAAACTTTTTAAAAGAAACAAAAATAAAACAACCTGAATCACTCCAAAAATAAACAAAGCTCTGATGCCCAAAGGAAAAGTCAGTTCCAGAAGGGAATACAAATTTGACACTCAAAATACAACTGAGAAATAAAAGTGTCAACTTTTTTATGCTCAGTCCCAAATCTCAGTCAAGCATCTCTCTATTCTTCAGTACTAATATACTAGAGTTCATATGCCACCTTGAACTCTTAAACTTCTAATATTAATGAAATATTTTGCTGCAATAACCTACAGAATATTAGAACCCAACAGCAAAGCCTATACAAAGATGCAACCAACTGATTCTTTATATATTAACTAGCCAGTAACCCGGCGTTGCCCAGGTGTTTATTTATAGGGGAAAATGTATGGCAGTACAGTAGAAACAATTTAAAGGCACAACAGGTTGCATCTTAACAGAGCACACACACTGATGGGTGTTAGGAGTGTCTTACTCCCACAAGTGTAAGACACCAGAGGGTAAGTCATCTGTGTACCATGTTTGGTTAAAATTGCTCGAGGCATTCCAAAGTTGTGCTGGAACTTACACACACACACACACTGATTTTTATATAGATAGATTATTTCTATAAGTAGTTTTCAACTTAAAACAGTTAATTTAGTGACCATTGAAATTACAACAGTATTGACAAAAGTGACTTATGACCATTGTCCACACTTATTAGCATTGCAGCATCATGGGATTTATATTCAGGTGCTTGACAACTGACTCACATTTATGACAATTGTGCAGTCCCAGAGTCATGTGATGCCCTTTTGAGTCCTTCTGATAAACAAAGTCAATGGAAATACCAGGTTTACTTAACAACCATGTTACTAATTTAAGAACTGTGGTGATACACTTAACAAATATGGCTAGAAAAGTCATAAAATGTTGCAAAACTCACCTGACAATTAATTTATTTACCAATATAAATTTTGGGCACAAATGTGGTTGTAAGTTGAGGATACTGTATCGTCATCTTTCATTCA